GCACCGGCGGCACCCTGCTCCAGGGCTGGGCCCCCATGCACTGCACGTTAACTTAATAATGGGAACTCAAACGAAGGGAACTCACCTGGGCTGAGTTGCAGAAATATTTGGTCTCGTACTCTTCGTTCATGGTGATCACCCCTCGAACATTTTCTGTTTCCACCAGCTGCAAAAGCAAAAACAGGCCATCAGCTCTCAGAGTTGAAAACTGCAACTGCCACGAGAGTGGCACTCTAAATACTCTTTCTCTCCTTTATTCCATTTTTTATGAGGTCTTGACAAAATATATTTCCAGTCTCCTTCTCTGCTCTTTATGCAAAAACTGGTGCATCTCAGAAAATGGCAATATTGTATAAAAGTTCATTTTTTTCCAAGATTTTTTTTTTCATTTTGATGATCACAAAAAACATAAATCTGGTATGTCAAATTATTCGAATATTTCATCTGGAGTCCACAGCCATGAGGAAGACTGCTGACTTACCAGATGCTCAGATGGCAAAATTCAACAACCACCAGAAGCCACCACAGTCACTGCTTCAAAAGCTGTCAGTTCACAGTGTGCAAATATTTATGGGAAGTTGACTAGAAGGGAAAAGTATACACAAACAACACACATGACATGAGAGTTTGCCAAGGAGTAGATTGAAGGTGGTGTCAGTGTCACAATGTACACAGCAAAGGGACCACAGCCATCGACTTCAATAATATCAGCCACTCATAAACAGGCATCTTACCTGAGCTAAGGAGAAAGATGCCTGTGGTCCTTATTCTAATCATGTAACAGGTAATATCCAATATGTGTAATGTGACAAAAGCACAACGTTCAGTGTGTGTTTCATGGCATTTTTACGCAGCCAACCCAAAGTTGTGGAATGATCTGCCCTTGCACGTTAGACAGGCCTCTTCTCTTTCTGAGTTTAAAAGTTTTCTTAAAACATATTTATTCGCTGAAGCCTTTGGCACTGATTAAAGGGGTTGACTCAATTTGTTTTAATTTATTTTAGTTATTTAATTTATTTTACCTTATTTTTATTTACTTTACTTAGGCCATTTTGCATGTACAGCACTTTGTGAACTCTGGTTTTATGTTAAAGTGCTTTATAAATAAAGGTGGTATGGTATGGTAGCATGTTCCTTGTGTAAGAGTCTTTACATTAATAAGCTGTATTCCTCACAATGAGGAAGGGATGTTTGCCTATCATTTAATAATCAAAAACATTTTAGAAATCAGTCCTACAATTATCCAAAAGCTTCTTTGCTGGGACCAAAATTACTTTTATAAAAGGAAAGCCCTTAGCTCGGGAAAAGGCCATTCAAAAGCTTTTTGGGTGCAAAGTATTCAAACACACAAATAAGTGGCCAAATGTGCATCTGTGGGTGGTGCTGGAGTGGCCACAGTGGCTGTAGGCAGGACGCAGTGATGGGGCATCGTGAAAGAAGGGGCGAGGTACAGAGCAGCAGAACAATAGCAACAGCGGTGTGTGAATTAATGCTAAACATAGTATGAACATTAGTCTTAGTGTTTTTCTACTGATGCACACTGCACTGTGTGCTCTGTCTGACTACTGAAGAAAAACAAACCTAATAAATCATGTTGACCGTCAGAGGTCTGATGATCCAAGAGGACCAACTATGGGCAAAAACTACTGAACTGCGAGACCGTTTCTGTTTCTGATATGTTAGCTTGTTAGATAACTGAGGCGGTGTTACAGCGGTTTCTGCTTCAGCTGGATCGAAGATGGTGAGAATCACCCACAAATCACAATATTCGCTGATTGAGATAATGACCTACTCACTGTGAGTTACTATTTCATAATTGTGGCTTCGCATATTACTGTCTTTACAGCATTTCTTTGAAATTGTACACACACACACCACTACTACTATAACAACTTGTCAAAACATTTGTTTAGAACAAAGTCAATGCCGCCTCGTTAGCGCAGGCTAGCTCGGCAGCTGGTCTAAAGAGTCGTTAGCGTAGTCGAGCGCTAGCTAGCAGCTTCAGTGTTTGACAGGCGGACCTGTTTGGTCATGGACCTGAACGGCAGCGCTCCGAGGATCACAGTTTCATCCACTCGGTCAAACCACCGTCTCGAGGACACCTTCTCCATGACAACGTTGTAGGCTAACGTGGGGTAGAAGAGCAGCCGTGCTAACACTCCCGACATGGCTGAGCTATTTTCTGACGAGTCGTGTAAGAACTGAACTTGTGCTGTGGAGAGCTCAGCCTCTCATCATTACTCCTCCGTGCTGCTGTGCGGCGTGTGCTTCGCAGCCTTCATCCCACATGCTGTCAGCTTCCTCCTCCTGAAGCACGACTTCCGCCGACTGCTACCCCTTCAACATAAACACACTGACCTTCCATCCATAGATTCAGTCTCAAATCAGAATATTTTTCTGCTCGACCAGCTGATGTTAAGGTGCAAAGTCGAACATATATAATGAGTACAACAACTTCATATATCACATTTTTTAAAGGACTGTCAGAACTTTTTTTTTTTACACATTAAAATTTAATCTCTCAAAAACTATTCCAAAATAAAAGCCTAATTTGTCACTGCGCTTTCTTATCGTCGAAATAAATCACGGTATCTGCCAAAGATACGTCAGAAAATCTCGCTAGTTAAAATATGAAAACAACAGCCCAGCACTCTGGCGTTTTTAAAAGTAGAATGGTAGGCAGAAGCTTCAGGTCTCAGTCCCCTCTCCTGACCTCACAGTTAGGGGTGGGTTTTTATAATCCATTCATCGATTAATGGGTAATGTTCATATGTTGATTAATGGTTTTCTTTCGTTTTTGATGTACTGCAGAATATTTTTATAAATCCCAGGCCAGGAAAACCTTCATGTTTTTCTGTGTTTTATCTTCAGCTACTTTGACACAAAGGCATCTGCTGTGACGCTTACACATGTGATAAAGTCTTGCGTGTGTCAGCTTCCTTTTTATTGATACAAAAATATGTAAATGTACTGATCTGAATTATAATATTTCTGACTGTCAAAATTTCCCAGATTTAAATCGAAT